TTTTTTGTGATGTGTTTCTTAGATCTTATCTTAATAGATGTAATCTCGGTTTCTTCGGAAAGGTTTCTTTCTACCAATATTCCCAATAATACGCAAGTTATTATAAAGGGAAAAGCTACGTACAACATTGCAGCATTTCGGTGATTTTTAATCTATTCGAATACTGCCCGCTTCCTCCAGATTCCTGGGATGATTGGCACATAGACGGTTAAACCGCGTGCATGTGCATGTGCTTGTCTTAATCAACGTCCTTTCCAGACATCTGGTAAATATTGGATTCGTATAACCTACATGTATGCATTACCCGGGCCGAGATGGCCAGGAATTACCACCGCGGTGAAAATTATTTTCCACCGCGGTGTAAATTATTTTTCACCACGGTGAAAATAATTTTCACCGCGGTAGAAATAATTTTCACCGCGGTGAAAATTCCAAAACATAAAACTTAAATGAAAATAAAAAAAAGTTAATATGATACTAACAAAGCTCCGTACTACACAGACACGATGTTCAGTTCTCTGACATAATGACACTGTTTCTGTATCTTTGTGCTGTACTCACTGTTAAATTACTTCCACCACAAAAAGATAAGAAAAAGCTGCAGCCCATTCAACCCAGCCCCCAAACCACCAACAAGAATGCATGAACTCTAGTAAATTACTCACCTACCAAATGATAATACATTTACCTCACAAATAGTAACTTTATTAGTCATAAAAACAATGAACTCCCCCCTCTCTCTTTCTCTTGGTTTGATCCTTTCTTACCTGATCTACCTTTCTGCCAAGCTCTGCAGACTACACTGCCAGCTGTTTGTACAGAGTGAATCACTCTCTTTACCACAGCCTTGTGGTGGTGAACTTTTCCCTTCTACAAACATGGTATCAAACACCCAGACAAGAACATCCAGAGACCCTCCACATTCTGGTGAGAGATGAATAGCACGGTTAATTTGAGACACAAATTCACCTGTGCGTAACCAGTGATCAGACTAAACAACCAATGACTGGCGCTCAGCTAGTCTATCGCCATTGAGACTGTCCTAAATGAACTGTCTATAAACCCAGCTCACCATGACACAACATGAGAACTGACTTACTTCCAATCTTGTAGCTGCATCACTGAGATGCAAACATATTTACCTGCTAACAGACATACCTAAACTTGCGAGACACATTAGAAAACGATCTCCCTAGACAAAAACACACATAAAACAGCTCAGATGGTGGGATTTTGAGACTATATACATTTTGTTATAAACATCGGAATGTAATGGCTTTCAAAACCTGTTCTATTTGCCATGCAAGGCCCATTCTGTCTGCTCACCTGACTTTGACAAGACATGGAGGAATGCAAGAACAGTTCTAACATACAGGAGACACAGCTTTCTGTCCCAGCTTTCTCTACTGACTACAGCAGAAATGACCAACTATGATGCCCTGTATGATAGCTTTTATAATCAAGGACATATCTAAGTAAGGCGTGGCTACTTAATTTGTATTTAATGAGCTTAATAACATAATTGGAGTGTGTGTGTGTTTGTGTGCTAGGAAAAGTGCCTGACTGAGTGTGTATATATTGACATGTGAGCACTGATATCTTGTTTGTTCAAAGTACAGTAACTTTCATGTTTTCCCAAGTATCACAGGACTGAACTGGACCCGAGATGTTCTAGATCCCAACAGTTCACTATCTCAGAGTTTTAACATTTCTACAGGTGAGTTTACAGGGGGGAGGCTATTTTCTTAACTGAACAAATTATATATTTCAGTCTCACAAGTTCAAAAGAGAATTATTTTCAGAAAACTCTTAATATGTTTCGACAACAAATAAGATCAAATTTTCAAAATTCCAACCTTTAAGTTAATAACATAATTTACAAAAAATATTTTACAAACAAGAACAGCTGTGCACCCCATTTCAATTTGTGCACAGAGACTTTAAAAATTTTTAAAAACGTTTTTCCAACAAAACAGTTTCATATTTTTTTAAATTCTAATCTTAATCAAAATTTCAAAATAATTTACTTTTTTATCAACAATAGAGCATACCTTATCACTTCTTCTTTGTAAGGACATTAAAAAACAAAACTACTTGAACCACCCTATTCAACAGTCACCAATCTGATATCTCTGATCCAGAGTTACCTTACATTTTGGACAAACCTAGTGGAACTAAATGGCATAAACAATATTTGGAACTGTACAGCACAAAAAAGCAGAAATCTATTTTCTTTTGATCTACCTGTAAAATATGCAACTTCTAAGTGCCCTTACTGGTCTCTGCTCACCAGGGGGCCTTAGACTTCAAGAAAAGACACACCCCATGTGCACTGAACTTACTGTGAGATGGTCAACACCAAGAATGTGCTGGAAAGGAATTCCCTATTTGATGTTGTGCTGAGGTTTTCTGGCGGGAAATATTATACTTCACCATTATAATAATGTTCATGTCGCAAGGGGGCAATGAGTACATTCAAAATATATCTCACAAAAAGTTAAAGGGATAATAACTCTTCGTATGAGATCTATATTTCTCAATAAAAACATTGTGAATAACTCATAGAAATATAACATATTCTGTTTTACCACAAAAACGGCAGTTCTAGCTATTATTCTGATATCAGAGCTTGTCTTTAGACCACGTGACCTCCATTGATGGCTATACTCTGTTAAAATATCTTAAGAGATTTTAACAAAAAACCAAACGTTTAGGAAAAAAACCCTGGACTAACATTGAATGCAGGAATGGGGTCGTTGACCATTGGTAAGTACGGGAAAATTGCCGTTTACTCCAGGAAAATCCAATTTTTGGCCAAAACAAAGAGTTATTATGACTTTAAACTTTCATTAATAGTTGTTTTCTCTTCATGAATCTTTTAAACTACATTAATGAAAATAAATTATATTGCTTGTTAATTTGACCATCTTTTATATTATTCATAAAAATATAAAACAACAAAAAGGGACAAAAAACAATTTACCTTGGGGATCGCACTTGAACTTCAATAGAATTCCGTTTTGTTGTTTCTTCTTCAATGGGTGCAGGTATATTTTCTTTACTGTCTTTTTCTTTGTTACGTTCCTTATCTTTAATTTCCTGGGCCTTTTTTAGAAATGAGGGACTTGGGCTACTAGCACTTGACTCAACGCTACCCCTGGAAAAACAGAAGATATGGGCATGAATTATCAAATAAAAAATAATTACAATTTGCCTGTCAATAGATATCACATAACATTCATACAATGTGACATCAGTGTGTGACAGAGAAAATATTCTCTACTAACATGAAATGGTATGTTTTGTTATATGAACATCATACATATTACCTACATGGAATGTACCTGAAAACAAAAGAAACTGCATTCATTAGAAAATATCTACCAATTGTTCAGGACTGTTACCATGCTTTCCAGATTCTCCACAGCCTTTATCTTTTGATAAGTCCTAGAACAACTATCGGTAATAAAAAAAAAATCTACTGCTGCAGAGTGTCCTGTGTATCAGACATTGAAGAGGATAAAGTTAAAATATTTCTACATCTTCATCTCCAAGGCGGGCTATCTAACACATGACCTTTTCTCAGAAGCCAGGCTGCCAGCACTCTGCAATGTAGAGAAATCATGTCAGGTGTACATAGGCTGCTGACACGCAGATGGTGCAAATATTTCAGAATTAAATCTTACTTGGTTCCATTAAAAATCATCCTGCTCTCACAGCAGGCTGCAGCACCATCACACGCAGGCTCCAATACAGTAGCTTTTCATATCAGGTCTGGACGTCATAGCAGGCAGAATACAATCACATGCTACTGTATGACTGCCATTTACATACTGCTGTATGATTATGGAGTTTTACTGACAACAAATGAGAAAAACTCAATATTTTCAACAATGTTTAAAGCAGATCTTTCTCATGAAAAGAAAAATTCAATAATTTCCTCAAGCATCAGTTGTGGTTACCTAGCGAATATTACAGCAATGATTGCCAGGCACATTCAAAGCAAAATAAAGGCTCAAATAACAATTAAATGACATGTGCATTTAAAAGGTGTACGTTTAGGCAATATTCACTTGTTATTATCATGAATTCAGGCATATCTGTTGATTTCAAAAGTTAACTTCTTCAGATGAACTATACTGCCTTTTATTAAAGAAATGTTGCATTATTTACTCAGGCAGCAGACTTAACAGTAAGTCTAATTGTCTGACTCATGGACTAGGACAAAAACCAAGTTTTATCATCATTAACAAGAAATACCTTTCCCTCCCATGACCTACATGTCTTATGTTATAATTATTATAGATGCTCTCACATAAACTAGTATCAATGCCTTGCACACTATGTCAGCTTTTCGGTATCAGTGCTCTTTGTACTAAGGTAAACAAGGTGTTTTTAAGACATCAAAGCATTCCTGGTCAGCTTTCAGGTATGCAGAGTTTAGCTGATTACTCTCTGACTTCATCCTGGAAATTTAATCCTTTCTAGGAAAATATTCCAACCCTAGTGCTTTCTGCAAGCTAAGCTCACTTCACATGCAGTGAGAACACCATACAACAAAGAAAGTCAGCATCGGACTCCGCCTTCATTAAAATCAAATTTCATCACTCATCCCACGTGAACAAAATGTTTCCAGGAATGCCACATCAAGCAGGTTGAGCACATCACTCTGTAAATAAATGATGAAAACACCCCGCAACAAAGGACTTCAACATGAAAGCATGCCCCGTGACCGTGAGGGTGGTGCGTCAATATCTCTGATTGCCACTGCAAACAAGCAGGAGAGGGTTGAAGCACAGACTGAAGTGGACGTAGAGCCTGGGGAAAACGGCTGAGCCATGCTACACTGATGTGTATTGGATACAAATATAACTGTGTCAAAGCAGCGATGGAACTCTTAGCTCGCCAAACATTGCTGGGGGCTTTTTTTTTGGTAGCTTGAGAGTGGATCTCTTGTTTGATACCCTTCACCGTCCAATTTATTTTGTATGACCTTTTACAAAACATTCTAGTAATCTTTAAAATATATATATATATATTCACACAATAACCTCACCAACTGTTACACTCAGTATAACCTCAGAAGCAATAATAACCGTGCAGAAAATTGAACAAATCTTTTGTGGAAAAAACAATAAGAGCTTACCAACCTTTTCCTGTCATTTTGTCACAAAATGTAAGCAACAAACTATTTGTGAAACGTGAAATACCATGCTTTGCAACCTCAAATGTTATGCCAGAAGACTAATTAAGGACAAATGAAATCCCACTGAATGTCTCCAAGGATTTATGATAAAAAGCAACAGCAACAAAATATTAGAATACTCTTCCAATGCAAAAATTTGAAAATTCAGCATAACATGCAATAAATCAAAACATGTGCATGCACACTGTGAACATGTGTTTGAATAAACAAGCCACACATGAAAATGCATACCCTACGACAATGACAGAAAACATGCCCTCATTCGGAGCAGAGCAGGGGCTGTTACTTGAAGTCGAAGTTCTGAAAAAACAACATAAGTACTTGCAGTAAATACTTTGACCATCTATCAAACAAAATGTCTGTTTTACTATTTTCAGCTAATGCTTCACCTTTTGAACTAAGCACTAACTTTTCATATATGTAATCATACACAACAGATCATCTGACTACAATTTAATCAAATGATAAATATTTCAATACTCATTAACAACTACTTATTTAACAGTTAATTGATGTTCTTCCAAGCAATCAATGAAATCAATTGAAACAATTTTTAATATTTTAAATATTACTAAATATAAATGAACTGTCATTTATGGAATGTTGCTTTAGCAATTAATGTACTCATGGCTTCTCTTAAAATTGATGAAGCTTAATATAGCAGTGCAGTGAACACCTTAACTATTAATGAATGCAGCCTTCACATGTAACTGGTGAACATTTTGTGATCATGCAATATATTAAATGGTAGAAAATATATGCTGACTTCGATAAATGAAATCCATAAAATAATTTCAACTTTAAAGCAACAAGGGTGACGTCTTCATCAAAAACACAATTCAATTATTACTTAAAGCTATAAAAAATCTTTAAAATTGTTCTATGTAAAATGGTTTCAATACAAACATCCTATTTAGTTTTACTCAGAATGTGTAAAGAACCAGGTGGCCATTTTTCTGTAGGAATTCTTTCGGAAATTACACAAATATTTCACCACCTCTAAGTTAAAAATCTCCCCCCTCCTGATGCCCTCCTACTGCTCAAAATTGGTGAAAATATCGTCAATAATTTGTGAAATGCTCAGAAGTTGGCTCAGTTTCAATGAATCAGCATATACATACCACCAAGCTTCCTGAGACACTGCTTACATATTAAATCTGGATCCAGTGGGTATTTTTTAAACCATTTGATTTACTTTCATATAATTTTGTGGTCAAATCTACAACAAATTTCCAAATTAAAATAAATATTCCTAATTTTCTTTAATCAAATCCAAAAATATTAGCCAAATGCAAAGAGAGCATGCTATTAAACAAGCACCAAAGAAATCCAGCGACTGCCAACAAGACATGTACATTCAGTCTTCAGATGACCTGTTTAACACGCGACATGTGCTGTGGTGAAACTAGAGCCAGAATGTAGCCACTTCATAGCAGCAAGCTCACCACATTCTGACAGACTGAAATAGTTGCTATTCATTATTTCAGCCACAATCATTTTAGAACCCAAGACCTTGTTGGCTGGTGCAGGCAGCACTGTGGTAGTCTACTAATATATATTTATATATGTTTGGTAAATGCATCAATGTGGTCCAATACCAAACACACACTGAGACTCTGAAACATCTTGATAAATCTGAGGATAAATGCAGCTGTCTGCTATAACTTGCCGTTCTTATTTCTAGTTCTAGAATGGGCAAAACAATGCTACTTCCAACAGCATAAACACAATAAATAAACTAATTAGCTGAAAACAAGACAAAAATGCATGTTCATCTATATCACTGTGCATGTGCTATATCTCTATCCTGTGCTACTGACCACTTAAAATATTAACTGCTGTGTCAAAAGAAGTATAACTAAACATATAACCATAAAAAACAAAGGTAAATGATAACTGCACGTAATTTAGAAACACCCTCTCAAAACATTGCCCTAAGAACATAATGGATAGTTATAATTCTAAAAAAAAGTTCCTTTACAAACCATGCCCTTACTTGAACTTAAGCCAACTGCAACAGAAGTTACTATGATCACATCAGCATGTGTCTCCCCTTATAAAAAGCAGAAGTGAATGAACTGACAACTACATAGTACATAAATTTCTGTCACAAGTTGTGCTCCAACAGAAATGTCTACTGCTGTGGTACTAGTATGCAAGCAGTGTGAATACATTAACATTAAGTATATACACACCTTCCTACAACCCAGAACTTCCTCATCTTGCCGTCTTTAATTCACCGCCATTAAACAGTTGACAGCAGCTCAAACTCGACCACCTATAACAGTAGCTAAATCCCTTCAGTCAGCTGCACCAACAATATAAAAAGCCAGTCAATTTAGTTCGGTGGCTTTTACATCATTCTCCAGGCTACTTTGAATCACAATTTGCATTTTTACATGTGAAAGCCAAGAGGCATAATGGACTCCAAAGGTTGCTTATTAAAGGCAAACATAAAAGGGATTGAATTGAAATATTTTCAGGGAGCAAAGTAGCAGCGGTGATGTGCTTGGGAATGATGACCTCAGGAGCAACGGCAGAACAACCAACTTTTTGCTGCGACAACAAACGCCAGTGTTTTGCTCCAATTAAAAACTTCCATTCCAATGGCACCGATATTTGTGTTGCAAACAAGAAACAGAATGTAAAGACGCTGTGTTTTGATTTTATTCACAATGTTTGAGCCAGACGTAACTCATGCTCTTGGAGGTGACGGAACAAAAGAATTTGCAACATGAAACACTTACGGCTTCAGAAAGGAATAGCCAGCTCCATTAAAGCAGCTTGTCGCTGGTAGTTCTTTGGGGGAAATTACCCTTTTGTGTTGCTGTTTTACGCTGCATACACAAACAAGTGTGCAGGGCTGTTTGTTCTAGCTAGTTAGGGCAGCATGTTTCGTGTGATTCGTTGTCCACCTGGATTCCACGCACATACATAATGCAAATTCAACGAGGCAGGCACGCAGAAGTAATCGCCCAATTCTATCTGGAGGAATGCAACATTGTATCAAACTGACAAAACAACTTGGGGTTCTTCCATAAACAATTTGACTTCATGAATGAACCTACTCTGCTCAAACAATTACACAAATAGCCCAGACCATTGGTTGAATCACATGTGGGATTTTCAAATTTTCTGAGCAATGAATTAACATCAAAACCAAACCACTAGAAAACAAATCCTTAAGTGTCATGTTAACATTAAAAAGTAACTTCTACACCAATGCACATAAATATCTATGGATCAAGAAATGCTGTAATTCTTAAACAGAAAAATAACCAAAATGGCTGATAAGGCTTGATGTCTTGTGGGATCAAATGATATATAAGAAAAAAAACTCAAAACTAACCATTTGTTTGCAAAAATTTCAAGTCAGTTTGAGAAGATTCATTTTCCCCTATTTTTTAACTTATAAGTAAATATTATGCTATCAATATTATTTTATATTTACTCTAGGGGAAAATTTGGGAAATTAAGAGGATAAAAATATCAGCAAAAATCCTGGACACCAATCACCTAGCCAGCACTGATTCATTCTTTAGAGAAAATAGATGATTAAAAAACCTCCTGGGATTTCAGGTAGACAAACATGCAATACTGCCATTAGCTTAGAAATATTGGTCTTACTCTCAGACTATTCCCTGAAGGTAAGAAGTATTGGTTTAATTTCTTCCTAAATTCATTCATATCATAGCTAACATTCATCAATAACGGTAATGGTAGAAAGTCTTCACCTCCAAGGCATAGTCATCTGCTGGAAGTCATCAACAGATGACCAAGTCTGGTGGTTGCAGACAAAAGTGGAAGGAGAAAATACCTTTTTAAAAATTTAATGTTTTATAAAGCTCTTAGTGGTACACTGTTATATTTACCAACTCTCTACACTATATGTTTATGCAGAAACCATTGATTACTCAAATAATATAAATTAATAAATGAAAACTACAATCCAGTATCATTAATTTGTTCAAAATCTTCAACCTCATATTTGAACAGTTAACAATAAAATTTCAGATGGATGAAAGATGTTTATAAGAAATTGGGAAGAGGTTACAATCTGCAGAAATAACTAGACTAGTAAAAGTGAACACAATGCACAGAATGATACATATGAATGAAAAGAAAAGAATTACAAACAACTAGTCTAATTCATCTCTATTTTTCGCCATCAATATTCAATAGACAGTCAATCACATATCATAATTACTATAATTTCCCACAATTCTTTGGATGTGAAGGTAGACTATTACAAACCCACTTCACCTCTTTCATTAATTCCCTCCCTTCCCCTTTCCAATCAAAAAGATAGCATCAAGAAGTAATTACTGCCATGCTGTTAATCTCTTCATTACTCTGATCTTCTAAGCAACATGTTACATTTGAATACAGCTGCTGTTCCTGAGGGACTTCTTAGGCTTAAGATGGGTTTACACCTGTGTAATTGACCCAGCCCATTTCCAAACCAGGATCGCTTCAAATTACACTTCAACAGCAAAAAGAAATCTTGACCACCTTCAGAACTTATAATGTGTTAAATATTACAAATCAAAAGATTCTTTAACAATGCCTAAATCAGTTTAAAGCTAGATTCCTTTTTAAGCGCACCAAGATCAGATGAAAGGTCACCACATGTAAACTGTCCTCAAAGAACAATCTACCTGTACTAATGACCAGATCATTCATTTAGTGGGCAGCGAAAGATATGAAAGACAGTATTGTCTCTGTCCATGCAAGTAATCCCAGAGAACTAAAGTTTAATTAATTCAGCCTAACGAGTTACAGCAGCAGTATCTTGCTGAGAGAATGTCTAAAACATGTGCACACACAGGTAATGGGGCCGTAGCCATAGTCCGAAGGTTCAATAGTCCGAAGGTTCATTGGTCCGAATGTTCACTATAGAACCTTCGGACCAATGAACCCTTGATTAAAAAATCGATGAAAATGTAACCACTTTTCGGACCAATGAACCTTCGGACCAATGAACCTTCGGACTATCGAGACGCCCCCCAGGTAATGCAGGCTTAGACATCTAGATCCACCTCCATCAGCAGATACACCTGTTTCAACAACCATAAGATATAACCACCTTCTTCATGCTGTCTTAATGTCAATATGTGACATCTTCAATCAAATAATTTACAGTATCCTAATTTTTCTATCTAAATATATATCACAGACAATATATTCATATACAAAATTATAACAGTTTGATTCTTCAAATCAACAGAAGTACAAATTTGTTGAATTGTAATTTTAGAGAAAACATAAGGTATTTAATTTAACCTCACTTTGTGACAGGTAATTCACAAGTCTAGGATCGAGTAAACTGTACAGCATGTGTAATGGAAACACATTCTTAACAACTACAGGGTCTGAGTTGGATCACATAGCAGTCTGTGGTATCCACCTCATTCTACATAATATATAATAAATTAACAGGTAACACATCATATCCTTTCATACAGCATACAACAGAACTAAACAGAAAGGCTTATGAACCAGTGTTACATAATTAATATTCTGTATCACCTTTTGTGAATGTAAAGAAAATACACCAGAGAGCTACAGAAGCACTACCATAGCCTGCAACTTCATCACATTTTCATGTAGAAACAACAAAGTCACAACACCCAGTGATCGATTTGCCTAAGGATTACTGTATCACGAACACTATTCATAACACCATTACTCTACGCCCCACAATGCACCAAAGAAGAGGGAGAAATACACAATATATGCACAATGTGAGACCCAGGTCTAAACTGTACCAATAGCCATGTTTGATCAGGAACAACAATGGAGTCCATGGATCAATATAGATATAAGATCAATATAGATATAAGATCAATAGAATATGAAATCAGCAAAGAAATCGACAATGGAATCCCTAGTGAAATGAACAAATGGGCTGAAATTGACAAGTGGAGTGAAATCTTACAAGTGAAAGCAACAATGTGATAAATGACAATAAGAATGACGAGTTGATAATAGAGACGTGAATGAATAACCCCTGAATTCAATGGGGGTGACCTCTGACCTCTGTGACCCCTGACCTCCCATCACTTCTCAACTACAGTGGGCCAGTAGGTACCATTGAAATCAAAACTATATCATATACAGATATGTATTACATTACTGTACCTGAATTCTTTTGATTCCTGCATGTCTATGGAGTATTTACTTTTGATAAAAAAATGTGTTTCGCTCATCCTGTATTTATAGATAATCTATTGAATCAACAACAAAAACAGATTACTTCCTGCATTTCTTCTTTTCATCTTTCTACCCCCTCTGATTTTTTTCTATTTATTTCCCTTGCCTCTTTTTATTTCACATACAATTCTCAGCCAACTTCACAGCAGATAAATCATTTTGTTGCTGGTGGTGACATCAGTGTACAAAACAGATCTTACCCCCCCCCCCACCCCCCCGGGACATGTTACGTCTGATGCTGCCCCCTCTACCAAGGATGTGGATGCACATCGTAATATAATGTACATACACACTTATAAAAATCACTGTCATTTGGTATCATCTAATTGCATATACAACATATTGTCAACCTTTACATTTTAGCTTACATGCTGGTCAAAAACATTCCAATAAATATGTACAAACTTATTTATTTATGGACATACATCAAGTGACCACTGAGGACAGAAGTCATCCTAAGTGCAACTGTCAGTCAACCACATAGTCAACAGATATATCATCAGAATTGATAAGAAAAGGAAAATGAAGAGAAGGGGATTGGGGGAGGGGGGGGGGGCAGAAGCCAGTATCAGCCAATTCTCTGCCTGCTTACCTTAGCCGACCATGTTGTATTACTACTTCACCGTATGTGTAAAAGTTGTATATACACTTTAATTACTATAATTGGGGATGCTGTGTACAACTACTAATATCATGTTAAACAAAATAACACCTAGAATTAATTAAGATTACTATAAAAACCTGTCTACCCATGCCTCACTCCAGACTATATCTAGTCTCACTTCATCAACCATGCCCTGCACTGCTCTGCATGTCACGGGGAAATTGGAAATCAATACCTCAACGCAGCGTATTCAAAGCCAAAAATTCCTTGCTGCCTGTTCCGCCATGCTGTAGCCTGGACACACAATGTTCCAGTGTGGTGACTTGGATACACAGTCAGCCAACGCGGCCAGGTATTGTGATGATTTAAAGTAGACTGTCATCATCACTATAATACCAGACTGTAGTCTTTTTAGAAGAAAAAAATACAATAAACCATTGTTCTGAGTTTAAATATGCAGACACTTGGACATTTTGATGCATACCTTGTATAGCCCATTGAAAGTTTATATTCCTGATAGTCTACCTATATAGTCAAGTTTATTTTAAAATGAACACTTCACTAACTGGCATATTATACATGTATGAGGTTTCAACCTACATTATACCAGTTTATTGCATAAAATATGATACACATTAACACAGAAAACCTATGTTGCTTTGCCAGACATATTAAATCATTTTCCTTCAACTTCAGTCCATATGTGACACATGATCTCCAAGTATCCGCCTGATCCCTGACCTCAACTCTGTGACATGTCATATGACACTTTTAGTGCCAGTCTGTGACCCTCCCCCAAAACAGACAGACTAGCTAAGTA